TGTGCAGGAGATGGGTTACAGCTGGGTGTTACTGGATTTAAGGAGCTAACCTTGGGACTGATCTTTGGGAGAAAAGTATTTGTTGTATTTTGGTGGTGGATGCTGCTGGTTTTTCCTCCCAGGTCTGTTGGATTTTTGGTATCCTGACCTGTCTCCTGTAATCTTGGAACCTTGAACCTTTGGACTGGCTTTTGACTACGGTATAGACTCTTGATCCCTGGACTTTGTTTATTGAACTCTCAGCGTTTGACCACTGGACTGGACCCTTTGACTATGGTGTAGCTTTTGCTATCAGTTTTTGTTTATTCTGTGGCTGAGTGCTATCTTTATGTTTTATATTTTGGTCTATTAAAACAGCCAGCAAGTAAGTGTGTTTTAATTAAACTGTTTGATAAAACTGGGAGTTTGGTTCATCTCTACCTAAACAAGGCAGAGCCCTGGCAACGTGACAGAGGAGGATCATAGAGGAAGTCACTTATCGTGGCTGTTACGTTCCAGGGCCACCCGCGATAAGTGAAAATCCGTGATGTAGGGACGCTATATTTATTTTAATATTATCTTAATATTTATACATTATTTTAGTAGTTATACACTTTTTAAAAAGTCTTTATAAACTTTAAATAAACCCTGTTTTTGTTTTACCGAGTACTCCTCCTTCTTTTCCTCCTCCATTCAGATTTGGTCAGCCACAACTCCCAGCAGCCTTAGCCACTGCTGAAGGATGCTGGGAGCTGCAATCCAGCAACATATATCTCCTCCAGTTTTTGGCTTTAAAAATTAGACTAAAACTCTGATAGGTAATCCGCCAATGTTTCTTTGAGTATCAGGACCTTTTTGTTCAGTTGGGAAGAAGTCCATCTCTCCACGCTGATGCCATTGAGCTCCAAAAGCCACGTGCCATCTGGGACTCCTGCCTTATAAGCTGGCCCATCCTTTGGCACCGAAAGCCGGAATGTGCCCTTCACCCCTGGAGGGAAGGACACAATGATGATGATGCATGACAACAACAAACCTCAACAACAACAATGAAGCTCACAATTTTCCCTACAGTGTGTCAATGAGTATACTGATTAGGAAAAAGGGGAGTTCTGGAGCTTGTAGTCCAAAAAGGGAATTTTTCCAAGCTGTAGCAGTATAATACCTCTTTTTTTTGTCGTGTCAGGAGTGACCTGAGAAACTGCAAGTTGCTTCTGGTGTGAGAGAATTGGCCGTCTGCAAGGACGTTGCCCAGGGGACGCCCGGATGATTTGATGTTTTCATCCTTGTGGGAGGCTTCTCTCATGTCCCCGCATGAGGAGCTGGAGCTGATCAGAGGGAGCTCATCCGCCTCTCCCCAGATGGATTCGAACCTGTGACCTGTCGGTCTTCAGTCCTGCTGGCACAGGGGTTTAACCCACTGCGCCACTGCGTTAACCTGCTATGATTCCATCCAAAGGAATCCTGGGATCTGTAGTTTTGGGAGCTAAGCAAAAAGAACTCTCACAAGAACCTTGCAAAGCTACCATTTCCAGAATTCATGAATGGAAAGCCAGGAATACTCACTGGACATGACTATTGTACATGACTATTGTACAACTACGCTTTGTGGAATAGACTTACGCACTTCTTTCCTTGTCGTACGATATTCCATACCAAGTAATCCCAGCTCCTTCCTTTTTGCATTACTCCCCATTATCCCATCCCTTGCTAAAAAGAAATTTCAAATCAGAAGCTGGAAAGCACAATAAATTATGCAAAAATTACTATTTTGAAATGACGGAGCTAAAGCTACTCTTCTTGAATTGCATAATGCATCCTGATTGCAGGATATACCTTTCCCCATTGGTGGAATGTGTCTTATTTTTCACCTTCTGACACTTTGTGTTGCTCACCTTCAGGAGACGAAACACTGAAGCCAAAGCCGCTTTGGTCCTTGGTGATACAGCACAACTGTGGCTTTTTGTGAGCCGGCAGGAGCTGGGCGGCATCTCGGCCGAGGGCTTTGGCCAGTTCGTAGGCATTGCCATCCAAAACGGTGAGCGAAACCTGCTTCCCACTGCGCTTGATCCTCCAAATTACCTGTAAGCAAAAGAGAGGGACAGAACTGAGAGCAAAACATCCTTGGAAAGAAAATACTCCAGATCCTGGAACTTGGGGACGTGTCTTTGTCTGGACTCCAATTCCCAGCTAGTTTTCAAATGACTTGACCTTGGAATTATTAGACCCAAAGGTTTACCTTAAAATGCTCCATGCCTTCAACATAATCTCCGTTAACCTCAAGGATTCGGTCACCGTTCTGCAGACCTCTCCGGTGAGCCAGGCCTCCTGGCGTCACTCGGCGGATGATGTGCCCGCTTTGCCCAGCTTCGTGGCGCAACACAAACCCAAAGTTCTCACCATCTTCCTTCTTCAGAGAGCAGAAACGGGGCTGCAAAGCTTCCTCCGGCTCTGCAAAAAGTAGAAGAACCCACAGAAAATGTCAGGACCTGTTGGGATTCATTGGGCATCCCTGGGCAAGGGGTGCCTGATTTGGAAGAAGGAGCAACTTGTAAACACTGGGTCAAGGAATAAGCTGGAAATTCCTTGTTACCTGCATCTTCTGCCAGGGATAGCACCGGGTTATCGATCCCATCTTTTGGGTTGAATTCAAATTTCCTGTGACGCCAAGAATAAGAAGGTAGGGTCACCAAGACCTAAGAGACTCTCACGTCAGAGTTTCCAAGAATAATTTTAAGCATTGCCCCCACTGGTTTGAAATGAGGAAAAAAACATGATTGCACACCATACAGACTTGGCTGTGTGGTTTAAATATCAGCACACCATGCAAATATGATTCTGTAAATTGTGTTGTCACAGGCCTTCATGGCCGGAATCCTAGTCATCCACAAACCTAATTAAGAGTTGGGCTACACAGTTTACAGAAAACCTACTCACAGAGATAGATGCCTATATTAAAACTCCAACCATCACCCAAGTCAAAAAAGAAGCACAATTCAAGCCCTGGCAGAATGTGCAAAAAGAATCTGCAAAGCCCAGCTTCTCCAAGGCAAATGGCACCACCTAAACTGGGCTCTCCAGGCCAATGGAGACTCCACCACAGGCATCAAAAGAGCTGCAAGGCCAAGAATGAGCCACGAGAAATGCAAAGATACAGAATGGGGGACGTGCGGCTCAAGTTCTTGGAGTCCTCATGGACAACAAGTTAAACATGAGCCAACAATGTTTGCAGCAAAAAAAGCCAATGGGATTTTGGCCTGCATCAATCAGAGTCTACTCTCGAGATCCAGGGAAGTCATGCTCCCCATGCCTTGGTTAGTCCACACCTGGAATATTGTGTCCAATTCTGGGCACCACAATTCAAGAGAGATATTGACAAGCTGGAATGTGTCCAGAAGAGGCCGACTAAAATGACCAAGGGTCTGGAGAACAAACTCTATGAGGAGCGGCTTAAAGAGCTGGGCATGTTTAGCCTGAAGAAGAGAAGGCTGAGAGGAGACATGATAGCCATATATAAGTCTATGAGAAGAAGTCATAGGGAGGAGGGAGCAAGCTTATTTTCTGCTGCCCTAGAGACTAGGACGCGAAACAATGGCTTCAAACTACAATAAAGGAGATTCCATCTGAACGTTAGGAAGAATTTCCTGACTGTGAGAGCTGTTTAGCAGTGGAACTTTCTGTCCCGGAGTGTGGTGGAGGCTCCTTCTTTGGAAGCTTTTAAACAGAGGCTGGATGGCCATCTGTCAGGGGTGCTTTGAATGATATTCCTGCTTCTTGGCAGGGGGTTGGACTGGATGGCCCATGAGGTCTCTTCCAACTCTATGATTCTATGATTCTAAAACACCTAAGATCCACCAGAGGAAAAGGGTTCTTTCTATATATCAAGGGAACCACTGACCACATAGGGAAGCTGATGAAGAAATGCAACCTACAAACTATCTACAGACCCACTAAGAAAATCCAACAAATGCTCCATTAAGCAAAGGACAAGAGGGATCCTCTCACCTCTGCAGGAGTCTACCGTATCCCATGCAGCTGTGGACAAGTTTACATAGGGACCACCAAATGCAGCGTTGCCCAAACACAAATCAAGGAACATGAAAAGCACTGCACACTCCTTCAACCAGAGAAGTCAGCCATAGCAGAGCACCTGATGAACCAGCCTGGACACAGCATATTATTGGAGAACACAGAAATGCTGGACCACTCTCACTCAGACGACACAGAGAAGCCACTGAAATCCACAATAAGAATGTGAACAATTTCCACAGAAAGGAAGAAACCATGAAAATGAACAAAATTTTGCTCCCAGTATTAAAAACACTCTCAAATCAGAAAAGTAAATAAAGAAAAACACTCTGAAATTAGAAGAATTCCAGACAGGAAACAATCAGGGCCAGCTAACACCTCCCAGCAAAGGATTCCCCTAGGCAAGGCTTTGAACCTGCAAGGCCTTTCAGTGCTAACCAAGGTGGCCAATTGCAACACTGATGCCTCAAGCAGGCAAGAGTTCTTTCCTCACCCAGATATATAAACCTCACTTGCCTAGTTTCCAACAGACCTCGCAGCCTCTGAGGATGCCTGCCATAGATGTGGGTGAAACATCAGGAGAGAATGCTTCCAGAACATGGCCAAACAGCTCGGAAAACTCACAGCAACCCATTCTGTAAATTATTCTAGATATGGACATATGTGTGTAGATATTTAGGGAATGAAGAGCACCAGAACTGTTCATTTTCAGTCTAGACCAGGTATGGGTAAACTTGAGCCCTCCAGGTGTTTTGGACTTCAACTCCCACCATTTCTAACAGCCTCAGGTCCTTTCCTTTTCCCTCTCAAACGCTTAAGCTTAAGGTAGGGTTTCTAGCCTCTACCCTAGAAACTTTTAAAAAGGACCTTAAAACCTGGCTCTTCCGCTGTGCTTTTGATGAATAGGTTTACATTCTCACAGTATTGCTTAGCCTCAACATTTTGTCATACATGTACATGTCCCCCCACTCCCTTGTGGGAAAGCCTGATTCCACAACCTCCAATATAATGAGCGCTCCTCCACAAATAATCTGTCTTTTTCTTATCTCACCTGAGTTTTAATCAGTTTTAATCAGTCTCTATTTTAATCATTACATGTAGCCTGCCCATTGTCATTGTGATTTGTGCCTATTGTAATTTTATATTGCTATGTTTATATGTTTTATGTAATTATTTGTTATTTTATTTATCGTGTCATCAGCAGCCAGACATTTGTATTACATTTTTAACAAGAACAAACAAACAAACAAACAAACAGATAAAACACAGAATTTGCAAGCTTGGTAGTTGATGAAATGTCCTTTGACCAGTAGCTGGCCACTTGGAGTGCCTCTGGTGTTGCCGCAAGGAGATCCTCCATTGTGCATGTAGCAGGGCTCAGGTTGCATTGCAGCAGGTGGTCAGTGGTTTGCTCTCCTCCACACTCACATGTCGTGGATTCCACTTTGTGGCCCAATTTCTTAAGGTTGGCTCTGCATCTCGTGGTGCCAGAGCGCAGTCTGTTCAGCGCCTTCCAAGTCGCCCAGTCTTCTGTGTGCCCAGGGGGGAGTCTCTCATTTGGTATCAGCCATTGATTGAGGTTCTGGGTTTGAGCCTGCCACTTTTGGACTCTCGCTTGCTGAGGTGTTCCAGCGAGTGTCTCTGTAGATCTTAGAAAGCTATTTCTAGATTTAAGTCGTTGACGTGCTGGCTGATACCCAAACAGGGGATGAGCTGGAGATGTCTCTGCCTTGGTCCTTTCACTATTGGCTGCTACTTCCCGGCAGATGTCAGGTGGTGCGATACTGGCTAGACAGTGTAATTTCTCCAGTGGTGCAGGGCGCAGACACCCAGTGATAATGCGGCATTATGTTGTTGTTGTTGTTATTGTTTGCATTTTCGGTTTTATTTTATTGTAATTTGCAGTTTGGGCTTGGCCTCATGTAAGCCGCTCTGAGTCCCCATTGGGGAGATAGTGCCGGGGTATAAATAAAGATGATGATGATGATGATGATGATTATTATTATTATTATTAGAATGGTGGGAGTTGGAATCCAAAACACCCGGAGGGCCCAAGTTTGCTCATGCCTACTGCTTGCTCTGATCACTGTTCCAGTTTGTGACGCCACGTAATCTCAGTAATTCAGTAACTTTTATCACTGTTTTATTTCCTTGGTTTTGTTTGAACGGTTTAAATACTGCAGGTGGACCTTAGGGTTGCCATAAATTAAACATGATGTATTCAACAAACTGCTTTGGGGTATTGAGAGTGATATAGACACGTCTCCAAAAATTGAGAAAATAATTGCCCAACTTTGCACTTACCCGGTTAATTCAGTGTTGTCCCGGAGTCCTGCAAGAAAGAAGATGTTGGGATAATAAATACAGAACTCGGCTCCTTTGGACAACACGAACTCACATTCAGGGTGACCCTTTGCCAAATTCTTTGCTCGTAAGACAGTGAACTCCAGCCAAAAAGGGCAGCTTTTCCTTGGCCTTTTTCAACGGTCTTGGGTTAATCCAACACTCATAAAACAGGTTGAAGTCCTGGCCAGATTAGAAACCCGAATTGCAGGTGAATGATTGCTGTGGCTGGTTCAAGAATTTTCAGTGCAATTAAACCGCAATATGAAACTGAATGTCACACTAAATGGAAGAGCACGTCCTTCTCAATTTAATCTCTCAAACATTAAAGAGAGTCCAGGTTTAAGAACACTACAGAGTTTGGGTTGTTGTAGATTTTTTCGGGCTGTATGGCCATGATCTAGAGCAGTGTTTCTCAACCTGGGGGTCTGGACCTCTGAGGGTAGTGAGGGGGTGTCACAGGGGTCGCAAAGACAATTAGAAAACACAGTATTTTCTGATGACTGTGGGGGTTCCGTGTGGGAGGTTTGGCCCAATTCTGTCATTGGTGGAGTTCAGAATGCTCTTTGATTATAGGTGAACTATAAATCCCAGCAGCTACAACTCCCAAATGTTAAGGTCTATTTTCCCCAAACTCCACCAGTGTTCACATAGGGAAGAGGGAGCAAGCTTGTTTTCTGCTGCCCTGGAGAGTAGAACGCAATGGAACAGTGGCTTCAAACTACAGGAAAGGAGTGTTGAGAATATCTGTATGTGTGTTTTGATTAACTGTATTGTAGTTTTCAAAGTTAGTGATTATGTGCTTAGAAATGTTATGCTTTGTAATGCAATGTGCTGGAGGTTGTAATTCCTGTGTGGAATGGGTCAACTGTATTGTGAGGAGGAATCGTAAATCTGAGTGCAGAAAGTGTTGTATGCTGTCTAGCATTGAGAGCGTCATACGTCATCACGTCACTGAGGAATGTGGGAGTGTGCCGTATTCTTGATTGCAACGAAGAGCCGAGCCATGTAGATGTTTTTTGTTTTCTTGTTCTGCTTAGTTCTAGTGTAAATATGTTTTGTGTTAAAAAAACTAGGTTTTTAGACAAGAAGATGTGTTTCAGTGCCTTGTGTGTGCAGAGATCATCACCGTTCCATTAACAAGGAGATTCCACTTGAACGTTGAATGGGATTGTGGCGCAGCTGGCTGAGTGTCAGCTGCATTAAGATCACTCTGACCAAAAGGTCATGAGTTTGAAGCCAGCCCGGGTTGGAGTGGGTTTCCAACCAATTGTGTGTAGCCTGTTGTCGACCTTTGCAACCCGAAAGACAGTTGCATCTGTCAAGTAGGAAAATAAGGTACCACCTTAAAGTGTGGGGAGGCTAAATTAGCTGATTTATGAGGCCATAAAGAAGACTCCAGCAAAGCATTCCAGCGGGAAGCATGCGGGGAATGCGGAAGTGCTTCATCAGCGTCGCAGATGGACGATGAAAGCGACAGCTCCCCTGGCGGCCAGAAAAGTTAAATAGCCTCTGTGTATGTCTGTATATGTTTGTATGTCAAAAAATTGGCATTGAATGTTTGCCATATATGTGTACACTGTAATCCGCCCTGAGTCCCCTGCGGGGTGAGAAGGGCGGAATATAAAAGCTGTAAATAAATAAATAATTAAATAAATAAATACTAAGCACAGTCAGCAGTGGAACTCTCTGCCCCAAAGCCTTCTTTGGAGACTGAAACAGAGGGTGGATGGCCATCTGTCGGGAGTGCTTTGAATGCAATTTTCCTGCTTCTTGTTAGAATGAAGTTTGACTGGACGGCCCACGAGGTCTCTTCCAACTCTAGGAGTCTATGATTCTAAAGATGGAAATAGTAAGTCAGATGGCTCGATTCATCTCCAGCTTCTCAAATGGAACCCCGGTGACGTTCTTGCATCATTGAGGGGCAGAAGCACAAGTTGAGCTTCTAGCAGAGACTTTTTAATTTGCAAAAATTAAATCAGATTTAGCAGTTTATCTAGCAAATGCCTAAGAATGCGACGGAGGCGTGACTAGTGGGTGGCTTGGGGTTTGTCCTGACCTTGTTGCTACTCAATGCTTTTATCTATGACTCATTTCAGGACAACAACAAAAGGAATTCCGTACATTACAACCCTCATTTCCATTGGGAATATGTTCAAAACTCATCTATGCATACCTGAAACACACCTTGTATTTTGATTATACTTGTTGCCAGATACATAGCATAGAAATGCACTGCAAAGGTCTTCAAACACTTCCAGGGTGGGACAATTTTTGGAAAATAGTGGATATTGCATCTGCCTTGGATGTGGAAACCTGGCGCTGATCAGACTGGGAGGTAAGACGGGTTGAGACCCGGCATGAGCAAACTTCGTCCCTTCAGGTGTTTTGGACTTCCACAATTCCTAACACCCTAAAATTGGACACCTTGATTAGCATTTAATAGCCTTGCAGCATCAAAGCCTGGCTGGAAGGATGGAAGGGTTTGCCTTTGCTTCTCCCTGAGGCTGAGAGAGTGTGGCTGCCCTAAGGTCACCCACTGAGTTTGCATAGCCAAGCAGGGATTTGAACCCTGCTCTCCAGAGTTGTATCCGAACACCACAGAGATGTAAAGGAACCGAACAAACCCCAGAGGGCATCTAGTCCAGCCCCCTTCTGCAATGCAGGAGAAGCACAATCAAAGAACTCCCAACAGATAGCCATCCAGCCTCTATTTGAAAGCCTCCACTGTATCTGAATTCAAGCCTCCAGCACAGGCATGGTAAATTTGAGCCTTCCAGGTGTTTTGGACTCCAACTCCCACCATTCCTAAGAGCCTCAGCCCCCTTCCTTTTCCCCCTCAGCGGGAAAAGGAAGGGGCCTGAGGCTGTTAGGAATGGTGGGAGTTGGAGTCCAAAACACCTGGAAGGACAAAGTTTGCACATGCCTGGGTTAGACTATATGATCTTTGGAATCCCCTTGGAGTGTACACTTCTGTAACATCCTAAAATTGCACTTGAATTTCCCACTGGTTGTCTTATGAGACAATCAAAACCAACCCTGCAGACATACATACCATGCAAACCCTGCAAAATTCCTTGCTCGGAGGTCCCATTTGGGTCAGTCCCTATGGACCCTCTCTTCTGCCACTTACCTTCCTTCTGCTTCATGGCTCCTTAAGTGTCTGAGGTCCAAGGTCCAACCTGCGGTGGCAGCTTCACCTGGAGACCCGCCTTTTTGGAAATGAGATCGTGGGAGCTTAATGTTTAAACGGGTCAGGAGACTTTACAAGGCTGGCCTCTCCACCTTCGAGAGAGATAAGCAAGGAGAGGGAAGCTCTCTTGTCGTTTTCTTGGCAGGGAAGGTTCAACTCTGGACACATTTTGTGCCGTAGGGAAATGAGATGCACAGGAGGAAAACGGCGCTTTTGTACCCTCGGCGATGGACTTCGATCAGGAAGAAGGTTACTTCTTAAAACAAACAGGTGGGAAAGGGGTAAAGCAAAAGGAAATTAAAATGAGAGTGTTTACCTTTCTGTCCGCATCATTTTCTATTATTAGTATGTTATGTGACCGACAACCAAACAGATCCATCTGGATCCAAGGAAGATACTATGATGAGGGAGTCAGCTATTGTTGGAGCTCAGCCTGTGATTGTGTTTCAGGAACAGGGTGCTTTGGATGAGGGAAGTGATGTTAATTAATTAATTAATTAATTAGCAGCATATTTACCCCGCCCTTCTCAACCTCCCGGGGGGGGGGGGGGGGGGACTCAGAGCGGCTAACAAAGGTAGCAATTCGATGCCACAATCAATAACACAGTATAAAACCATAAATACATATATAGTTAAAACAATAGCAGTTAATTATAACCAAATTATCATAGCAGTCACTAAAACAATACTCAGTCCACAAACCCACTGATAGAACCATAAAACCATATCCTCATACATATCGTCTTGCCAAGCCATTTCCAGTCAAAGTGCTGCTTTATGTTTATTGTCTGAAAGCCTGGTCCCAAAACCAAGATTTTAATTTCTTCCTGAATGCCAGGAGGGATGGGGGTCGATCGTATTTCATTTGGAAGCGCATTCCACAGGCGGGGGGCTACAACCGAGAAGGCCCTGTCTCTCGTCCCCACCAGCTGCGTTTACGATGTTAGCGGGAGTGAGAGCAAGGCCTCCCCAGATGATGGGACATAGAGGCAGATACGTTCGGACAAGTAAGCTGGGCCAGAACCGTATAATGAGGTTCAAGATGAGTTTTAAGATGGTGATGGTTTGGCCAGTGATATTGATGCAGCGAATGACCAGGAGATCCCTGTTCAAAGTGTAGTTTCCCATGAGAATGTTCCTGAGGGGTGTGGGGATGATGGTGTGCTTTCTTAATTGTTACCAAAGAGTTCCCATGAGAAAGGACATGAAAACAGCTCGGCACCTGGCCCAGCTACAGAAATTAATGGGCAAATTGATAGACTAGAGGAGATCAGTTGAAACAGGAGAGCCGAACAGTAGCTTCAGCGTTCTGCCAGGCTCCGACAGAAAAAGATAAATTCTCAGCTAAGCGAAACCAATTTCTGAGCACTGGTGACATAATTAACAAGGAGAGAAAAGTCCCAAATTTAGAATATGTAGTCTGATGAAGGATCATTTGGAATCAAGTGTTGGGAATCAGCCTGTTTGTTTTCCAGGATCATAATGCTTATGATGAGAGTAATGATGGTGCTGAGACTGAGGTGCAAGATGGAGATGGTTTGGTCAATGATTTTCATACAGACAATGACAGAGAGGCCCCAGTGCAAAGGGCAGTTTCTCATGAGAATATTCCTGCTGAGCCTCGGGATGATGGTTTACTCCCTCTTTCTGTGAGCTCTCAAGATTTGGGTTTGGAAAACAATCTGACACCTGGAAATTTTAATGAGCAGCCAGATAGGGAGTTGAAGGATAGGCGGCTGGAGATCAGCCAGGATTGACAGCAAACTCAGTGTTTACGTCGCTCTGAAAGGCTTCGTCAGATAAGGGGCAAGTGTGGGGGAAAGCCAAACCAATTTCTGGGTTTTGGGATATAAGGTTTGCTTCTAGGGAAAACCTGTTAGATCAGGCATCGTTTGGAAATTAGGTTCATGTGCCATGGAAATCCTGTTTAAGAGGTCTTGTTCATGTGGAGAATTTTAGCCTATTGGATTGTCTTTGTTTCCTGTTGATTCCTGCCTGGATAAACACTGCCTTGGAACTGCTTTTATATTTTGTGTGGACATTGCTTTGTTACTGCATTTTATTGACTCATTACTTTTTGGAACCTTCATATTTCCTTACAAGCACTTATTTTTACTGGCTATTTACTCAGCTTCAATAAAAGACGATTTGTTTCTTCACTTATTGTGTGGTGTGTTTTAAAGTCAGAGGGCTTTTTCCTGACGTGGAGTGCAACATCAAGCTAAGTTCCCGTCCTTGTTTCATGGAAACCTTGCTTGGAAGATTCGTGCTTAAATATGTCTTGTTTCATAGTTTTGGTTTTTGGATTTTAGGATTGCATACTAATGCCTTGGATTAATGTTTCCTGATTTTCTGCATTTTATTAGAGAAGTGTGGACTTTGTTTTCATGGATTTTGCTGAACTCTACTCTGGACTAATTTGTTCCTGCTTATCTTCTTACCTAATTGGATTTACCTATTTCTTTAAAATGCTGTTTATTTTGCTGCTTTTTAATTATCTTCAATAAAAGGGATTTTTCCCCTATTCAGTGTGTGGTGTTTAATGTCAGAGGGCCTTTCCTGTCCTGGAGTGCAACAGCTATGTGTTTAAATTGGGGTTTGGAGCCCGGCACACTTTGCTACTCCAAGGGCCAGATTTTCTACACGAACCAGTAAGAAAGGAGATTTATTCTTTCCAGACAGAAAAGGATGTCAGAAAAGAGTTTGCACTCTCAAAGATCCAACATAACCCAATACAGAACATGTGTATACAATTTTGACAGCTATTCCTAACACCTGCGCCAGCCTCAGATGCAGGTGAAACGTCAGGAGAGAATGCTTCTGGAACATGGCCATACATGGAAAACACACGACAACCCAGTAAACAGATGTGTAAAGAGAAACACCAGGAACCTTGTTGAAATAAACGCCATTCAAATATGCACAAAGTCAGAGGTTTTGGCTTTTGTTTTACTAGGACACATTTTATCCAGTTGCAGTGCATTATAAGAAAAATAGAAGTGCAATTCTCCAAAGTGACAAGTAAAATACAGAAGCACAACAATACATTCTCAGGCTTGACAGCGCTATCAAAAATATAGTTTCTGGAGGGACTGGCATTGTTTTCTGCAAAATTTAAACTATCAAAACAATATATAGCCCATTGCTCTGCTTCAGATCCCTCTCCCATCCATAGAAAAGTATAACAAATAAGCATTAAGCCAATAAGGAAACATAATACAGCTGAAACGCAATTTGGGTGGCTTGAACTCAGGAAAATATGAAGTCACCCTCTCTATGATATTCTAAGACATCTTATTGCTGGACGTGAAGGCTTCACAATTTTTGCTACACAGAGCTGTCAATGATACCTTTTTGACACAAATGCGCCTAAACTTGCTTTTCCAAAAATTCATTGCCATAGAGCTTTCACTCTCTAAGCAGTCAGACGCTACTTGCATACATATATATAAGTCCAGTTGTGTCCGACTCTGGGGGTTGGTGCTTATCTCCTTTTCTAAGGTGAAGAGCCGGCGTTGTCCGTAGACACCTCCAAGGTCATGTGGCCAGCATGACTTTATGGAGCACCGTTGCCTTCCCGCTGGAGTGGCACCTAGTGATCTACTCACATTTGCATGTTTTTGAACTGCTAGGTTGGCAGAAGCTGGGGCTAACAGCGGGAGCTCACCCCACTCTCTGGATTCGAACCTGGGACCTTTTGGTAAACAAGTTGCATTTCAGATTTCAAAGTTCCCTACTATATATATATATATATATATATATATATATATATATATACACACACACACACATATACACACACACAGACACACATATACATACACACACACACATGCATATATGCATGCAATAAACCATATAATATAAAACAATAAACCTATACTTGACCAAAAGGTCGCAGGTTCAAATCCGGGGAGCGGCGTGAGCTTCCACTGTCAGCCCCAGCTTCTGCCAACCTAGCAGTTCAAAAACATGCAAATGTGAGTAGATCAATAGGTACTGCTTCTCTGGGAAGGTAACGGTGCTCCATGCAGTCATGCTGGCTACATGACCTTGGAGGTGTATATGGACAACGCCGGCTCTTCGGCTTAGAAATGGAGATGAGCACCAACCCCCAGAGTCGGACACGACTGGACTTAATGTTGGGGGAAAACCTTTACCATATATATATATATATATATTCTTCATTTTTCCCTCTCCCTGACATTCAAAAGGACAGGAACCAGATGCATTCATTTTAAACATGGTGCTTTTAAGCTTTGCAAAGGCACAATGGCAAAAGAAATCCCGCCCCATCAATGTTGCTCCCTCCCTCTTGCTATTTTACATCCCCAAATTTTGAGACAAGCCCCTCTGAAAACCTGAGATGAACAGTTTGACCCATTTCCCATCCTGGAAATACTCCTCTTTGCTTCTTCAAAGAGCAAGAAGAACGCTTCCACGTTGCATAGATTTGGGCTGCAAGAAATGGGAACGGACAAGAATGGGACAGCAGCAAATCCCACAAGTTGCAAGGGATATAAACACAACCCTCTATATCCATTTAGGAAACTAAGAAAAACAGTGTTCCAGTTTGGGGGGAATTAAGGCGCTGGTAGTGAGGTATTTGTGTTTGGAAGCGAAGGCAAGGAAAGGTAATGAAGTAGTGCAAATTGGGGTGCATCCACACTGTAGAAGTTATCCACTTTAAGTGGGTTGTTGTGAGTTTTCTGGGCTGTCTGGCCATGTTCCAGAAGCATTCTCTCCTGATGTTTCACCACATCTATGGCAGGCATCCTCAGAGGTTTTGAGGTCTGTTATAAACTAGGCAAGTGGGGTTTATATATCTGTGGAATAATGTCCAGGGAGGGAGAAAGAACTCTTGTTTGCTTGAGGCAAGTTTGAAGGTTGCAATTGGCCACCTTGGGTAGCATTTAATGGCCTTGCAGCTTCAAAGCCTGGCTGCTTCCTGCCTGGGGGAATCCTTTGTTGGAAGGTAAATCAGGAGAGTAAATAAAGAGCAACAGTCTGAAAACAGGGGAATTCCAGACAAGAAACAATCAGGGCAAGCTAACAAATCCCCAAAAGGATTCCCTCAGGCAGGAAGCAGCCAGGCTTTGAAGCTGCAATGCCATTCAATGCTAATAAAGGTGGCCAATTGCTACATTCATGCTTGCCTACAATAGACAAGAGTTCGTTCTCCCATCCTGGATATAATTCCACAGATACATAAAACCCTATTTTCCTAGTTTGCAGCAGATCTCACAACTTCTGAGGATGCCTGCCATAGATGTGGGTGAAACGTCAAGGGTGAATGCTGCTTTTGGAACATGACCAGACAGCAACCCAGTAAATCCACTTTAATCCCAGGGCTCGATGCGATGGAATTGTAGTTGCACATGGTCTTTAGTTAAAGTGGTGCTAAACCACATTCATTTTATGGTGTAGATGCGTCCTTGGATGCAAAACAACCCAAAAATCTCCTTCTCGTATCCATTGCATTGGGTCAAACTGGTCTCCAGGAGCATCTGTCTTTCAATGGATTGGGATCAGATTTTTCTCCCATTCTTAAAATTCCTATGAGCCTCAGGCCCATTCCTTTCCCCGCTCAGCCGCTTAAGGTGCATACAAATCCAACCGTAATTAAGAAATAAACCTGCTGTAGACTGGAATCCACCATATTTAAACAAACTATTGCTTTTGCAGTACCCAAAAATCCAGCCAGTCCAGTATTGCACCGATTGTCCAGCATCTGTAACGTCATACTTTTCCAACAGCAATGTGGTGAAAGTCAGACGTATATTCCTTGAGCTGTTGCCATCCATATGCATTGAAATGTAATATCCAACATGACCGAACAATGGATAGAACACATCTGGAGCTTGCAGGAGCTTGATTTAAATTAGACTAAGGTAGAGTCTCGCTTATCCAACATAAACAGGCTGGAAGAACGTCAGATAAATGATAATGTCGGATAATACAGAGTCTCCTACTGCTACCTGTCCGATGCAGTGCTAAAAACTCACAATAGAATATTAACAACAGGGACTCAAAAGTTTACGGCAAGGCGACACTTCAGGGCTAGAGTGTTAGGGATTCCTCATCTTCACAAGAGGAAGGGGAGCAAGGAAGTACTCAGGAAGTGGAGGGAGAAGAAGAATCAGACCATGAGGTTGTGCAAGTGCCCACATTTCTAGAGAGACGAAAGGAGACAGAGCACAGGCGGAGTTCAGCTAGAATAGCTGCTAAAAACGCTGAGCTAATTGGGAGACGCCCTAGCACCTCCTGCGTGGGGAATTCAGGGATATAAATCAGGAATAGTCAGCTTTCGCTGGTAACAACGACTCCGATGCCGAGGTCTCCACTCCAATTGAACCTGCTTTGTGTCTGCTGCTAAGGACTTAGTGATCATTGCCTGTTGTCTGATGGAAGACTGCTGGCTTTGGGACTTTGTAAGAGACTTTAATTTGTGCCTGCATCAAGGCTTCCTTGTTTTCTTTTGTATTTTTCTTTTGTGTTTGCTGAAGTAAAGCATTTTTTTAACTTTCAACTTTGTATTAAGGCTGTTTTTGAAGAGCAACTCAGGACATAGAGGGCCCAACAGGAAGTGCTCGGATGCGGAAGAGGAGTTCGGAAATGGAGGGAGGACACTTTCGCTTCCAGTCCTGACTTTTTTCCCTCTCTTCCTCCTCCTTCTCTTTCCTTTTTCACTTATTGGGAATGGAGAGAGAGTTGGGGAGCACTCCTTTAATAGAAGAGGAAATGCTGGAGGAAAAGGGGGGCATCGGATAAGAGTGTCGGATAAGATGGAAGGTCGGATAAGCGAAGGTCGGATAAGCGAGACTCTACTGTATTTAAAATAGCAAAGAAGACAACTAGACACTCCTGGAAGAGGAAACGCAACTGTCAATGTAACCAGATGTTGAAAGACTAGTTTGCCTGTTATTTGCATAGTGAAGGTAGGAGAAAGTCAAGTTCATTAGAAGATAAGAAGAGTCATATTACATTGGATCCAATGCCTTTCTTAGGGAGTTGGCCCCAGCTGTCTTTGGGGAGTACCTATGAGTGTAAAAAGCTATTCCAGTTTTAATAGCGTGCTTGTTTGCACCCCTTGTATTTCCATCCTTTGCTATGACTATATTAGCACCATTTTTGGACGTTTCCGGGGAGCATCACACGAGAGTGTCTATCCCCTACTGAAGCTCTCCCAGCATCCTCTTGACTTTGTTCTCCACGCTCATGAACTTGAACTTCTTCCATGGGTTGACCGTCTGGCGGCGGCTGCACCGCAAGTCATCCAGCAGCATCCCCAAATGTTGCCGCACCCGGTCGCGGTCCCAGATGGACAGGTTCTTCTGGACCACGTTCAAGATGGTGTCCCAGTGGTCCGAGACGTCGGTCCCCATCGTCAGGAAGATGAGCACCCGGATGCCGTCCTGGTCCTTCCGCATCTGGTGCAGAGCCTGCTTTCCTTCCTCGCTGATCTCGTTGAAGTACAAACTGGTCGGAGGTGGTGAGAAAGAGGAAAGAGAACAAGAAGGGAACATTTCAGAGCCTTTGTGGTCAGAGACAGGGTCCAAATATTCTAAATACCTTCACTCATCTTTGAAGCTGAGCAGGGTCAGCAGGTGGCCTTCCAGACACTGCAAAACATCTATCAAGCATAGATGACAGAATTGGCCACCGACTTCTAGAGGGCTACCCTAAAGTCCCAATTTCCAAAATACCTTGGAAGCTGAGCAGTATCAGCTAGGTTTATGTCTTGGATAGAAGACCAGGTCATGTTGGCCTTATGAGTGTTCCTTGCCCAAGAAAACCATTTATGGCAGTAGTTCTCAGCCTTTCTAATAACTGTGACCCCTTAATACAGTTCCTCATGTTGTGGTGACCCCCCAATCATAACATTATTTTCATTGCTACTTCATAACTATAATTTTGCTACTGTTATGAATCATAATGCAAATATCTGATATGCAAGATGTGTTTTCATTCACTGGATCAAATTTGGCACAAATACCTGATATGCCCAAATGTGACTACTGGTGGGGTTGAAGGGGAGGGGGGTTGATTTCATCATTAGTTACTGGGATTTATAGTTCACCTACAATCAAAGAGCATTCTGAACTCCACCAATGATGGAATTGAACCAAAGTTGGCACACACAACTCCCAAGACCAACAGAAAATACTGGAAAGGTTTGATGGGCATTGATCTTGAGTTTTGGAGTTGTAGTTCTCCTACATCCAGAGAGTACAGTGGACTCAAACAATGATGGATCTGGACCAAACTTGGCACGAATACTCGATATGCCTATATGTGAACACTGGTGGAGTTTGTGGAAAATAGATCTTGGCATTTGGGAGTTGTAGTTGCTGTGATTTATAGTTCACCTACAATCAAATTGGGCCAAACTTCTCACACAGAGCCCCCATAACCAACAGAAAATACTGTTTTTTCTGATGGTCTTTGGCGACCCCTCTGACACCCCCTTGCAACCTCCACACGGGCCCCAACCCCCAGGGTTTCTCCCCCAGGTTGAGAAACGTTGCTTTATGGAGTCACCATAAGCTGATGTTCAACTCGGTGGCACACAAAAAAGCACTGAGCAGCCAATATAAGACACTAGGATCCAATCACAATAGAGCCTTAAGTCAATGTGAACCTCATCTAACTCCAGTTTCTAGGAATGAATAATGCCAAGTTTTCTCTCCAATAGATTGGACCATTATCAGTGAGTTTCCAGACTTAGGGAAATGCAAACTTCTTTGTGCAAAAAGCAATGATTTTTAAAAACGTTGCCTGTGTATCGCCTATTTAGCTATATAATTAAGTAGTAGGCATGGTTAGGTTCGGTCGGAATTTTCATAATTCGGAATAAATTCGGAAAGATTTGCTTTTTGAAGCAATTTCGAAGTTTTTAAGGAAAGCCCTTCCGAAGCTTTTTACTCCATTTCTGTTACGAAGCAGTAAGTGAGTTGGAAATGATTCAGCTTTTCACCGCTTCTGGGCTCAAGCCTGGGAAGCATATTAAACCAGTGGATGAATTTCCTCCCTTTGCTTCCCCCCCCCCTTTCTGGAGTAAAACAACTACTAGTAAAGACCACCCAATGAAACAGGAAACAACACTTCCAAACCATTAAGGAAGGATTTGGAAGTCTCGGAAGTTTCAAAAAGTTTTGAACATTTTTTTTCTGTGAAAATCGGAATTGACGTCCGAATTGAACCACCAGCGCTCCCTACCTCCGGAACGAGTTTTGAACCATTTTTTTAAATCAAATAAGCCTACTAAGTAGCTGGTACAAAATCACAGCCAGCATTTTAAGCCCTAGTAGTTAAACAGCTAAGGAGGGCTTTCTGGTCCAAAGAAGGGATTGGATACTATGACGCTCTCAGCTACCAAGAACCCTATTGTATCTAAAGGTGTCTGTACCCAATGCAAGCACTTATACGATGTCTAAGTAGGAACCCTTTCCATAGAGGGACCTAGATACTCACTGCACCATCTTCAGCGTGGGGTGTCTCTTGACTTCCTCAACCAGGGCCAGCGCGGTCTCGTCTGTCACTGAATTGTAGGCCACGTCCAGTTCCTTCAGGTGCTGGTTCTGAGCCAGGTGTTGGGTGACCACCTCCACGCCCCGGTTCCCCAATGAAGTATGGAGCAGCGACAACTGCCTCAAAGACCGGTTGCCAGCTATGCCTTCCGCCAAGTAGCGGGCACCTTGCTCCGTCAGTGGGTTGTCTGCCAACCTGAGCATGGGACAAAAAGGGAGCAGAGCTTTGAAACTGACTTTTAGAAAGCCCTTGATCACAGTCATAGGACTAATGCAATGACAGGCCAAAGTGTGTTGAATCTGATGTGGCAACAGAGCTGTCTTAAACCCATAATTGGCAAAATTGCAAGAGGTTCACTTTTGGATTAGGGAAGAAAATAACATGTATTTAATGTGAAACCATTTCGGATGGGCTCTGCAGCCTAACTCAAAAGGGATGCTACCTGGAAAGGCAAATAAACTACATGTAATGGGTTAGTCTGAAAGCTCAATTCAAGTGCATTTCTTTTCATACTCACCTTAAAGTGTTCACCGCACACTTCTCGTGCAACAGCAAGTCTCTGATCTCCTTGCAAGCTTCGGGCCCCAAACCATTTTGCGGCAAACTGGACACAAAAACAGCCATTTTAAAACCCAGCACCAGAGTCAGACAACCAACACCTTTGATGGGCAAAGGCAAGACTGCAGTCTATGCAAAAGGGGCATAGACCACAACTGCTATTGTAAATTATTAAACTGACAAGTACCCATAATTTCATTTACCCACGTTGAACAAAATAGGCATATTCTAGGTCCTCCAAGCAATTCTATAATGTGTTTTGGTGGAGGACCTAGTGACTGAGCGATGTCCTTTCTATGTCTTTCCTAGGTCCTCCAACACAACTCCAGGACATGCTTCTACTGGACATCATTTGTTTAATAGGGTTCATTATTACTCATCATTTTGGGTATCCAAGAAAAGATACAGGAGTCATCTAGATAAATAAATGCAATAAAAATGCAAATGCCCATTTGTTCAAAATCTTAAATCTCCCAAAATACTTCACTGATTGCTTTGAAATTTTGACACAACGTAGCATTTGAATAGGCACATGTTTTCCTATTTCCACATACCTACTACTATATAGATGTCACACCTGTAACAGGTAAAATATGCCAAAAGTTAAATAATAAAGACCATGTTCTACGCAAGTAGAGATGGAACTTCCTCTTTTTTGCCTGTGGATTTGGACTTGATAGAAATCTGCTTTCTACTTGAGCACTGTGTGGACTATGTGGACATGTGCCCCAATTTTTCAGTTATTCAGGCTTAATTGAGGTACTATGTTGTGCACCACAACACTCACTGGAGTTTTTTGCACCGTAGCAAGACGGGAAAGAGAATCCGCAGGCAGTTGACATCCAGGTGGCAAAGGCCCAGGTTCAGCTCCTCCACCTCATGGCTCGTGGCGCCCACCACCGAAGCCAGGATGGAGCATTTGAGAGGGGTCATCTTGACTGTGGAGAGATTGATGGTCCTCAAAGACTGGACGGCCTCGGTGGTGAAGCTCTCATTCTGGAACTCGTGGAGAAAGATGAGGAGGTCCATGACCTCTGGAGGTGGCAGGCCCTTGCGGATTTTTTGGATAAACTTTTTCTTCATGGCTTTCGCAGTCTCGATGACCGCCAGGTTTGTGATGGGGCAGCCCAGCTGGTCCAAGATGGAGCGGTTGCGTCGTGAGAGCAGCCCAACCGTGAAGATGGGGAAGAGCTCAAAGGCCTCATCATCAGGGGCATCGTCCGGGTGGCGCATGGGGCCTTCCACCCCAAGGATGCTGCAGTTAGTCTGCTCCAAAACGTCATCGTTGAAGTAGTCCTCCTCCTTGAACATCTCTGCTGCCATGGTGCTGGCAATGGTGTCATGGTCCTTGCTGCCAAATTTGGTGAAGTAGCGGGGGAAGATCTTGATGAGGTTGAAGAGCAACGGCAGGATGCGTAAAGGCAGCACCTTGGAGACGATGCTGAGGACTACGGCCACGTCTTCACTCACCTTGCTGATGATTTCGGAGACATCCTTTCCCACCCGATCCATCAAGGTCTTCTTTTCACCCAGGACCACATAGAGGGCCGCCAGGTACTCCTGCATGATGGGGATGGTGAAGACAAAGGTGTGCTCCTTCCCTGATTGAACGCTAGGCGTCAGGAAGAAACGGAAGACGTCACTGCGAAAGATGTCCAGGAAGTTGAGCTCACTCTCCTTCTTCATCTCTACTTCAAAGCAGCGGCGCATGTCCTCCTCCGAGAAGGATGTCTTCCGCGAAATCACTCCATCGTGGGCCAGCTTCCCAACCGTTTTGGCCACATACTTCATCATGGAGATGTTGGAGGGGTCTGTGCTGTCCAGCACCTCCCCGCTAAAGTTGAGCCGCAGGAAGCTGGTGTAGATGCCGGTCAGCGTCTGAGGCGGAGGCACCGAGTTGGTGAAATACAGGAAATGCAAAGTAGTGCACACCAGCCAGCAATAGGAAGGCAGGAAGCAGGCAGCTGCAATCTGGTTGTGCCTTTCCAGGTTCCTCGAAAGCATCTCCACCAGGTTGTCTTGCTTGCTTGCCTCCTCAGCTGTGGGAGGACCAGAGACACCAACGCAGCCTGGCTGGCAGAGACGCATCTGGAAGTAGAGTTTCTGGAGGTTGGTGTCAGAGAAGCCACAGACTTCGACATAGCGGCCTACGAACTTGCTAGGGATGCGGCGCACTGCAGACGGCCGTGTGGTGACTATGATGCTCGCCTGGAGGAAAGGGAGGAGAAAACAGACCCATCAGAAGATGAGAAGGAGCTTCTGCTTCTGAAAACTTTACTTTGAAACAAGTTGCAAGGCCTCCCTATTTTGCTTAATATTTAAGAATCTATATAAATAAAAATGTAATGTTCGTTTGTGGGATTAACATAACTCAAAAACCACTGAACTAATTGACACCAAATTTGGACACAATACACTTATCAGGCCAACGAGTGACCATCACTCATAAAAACACTGAAAAACACAGCGACAAAAACCAACTCCAACCCCAAAAGGCTGTGAGGAAGGCTGTTAGGAGTTGTGGGAGTTGGAGTCCAACCCCCCCCCCCCCCCCCCCCGAGGGCCCGTCTGCCCCTACCTGGTCTACACCGTGGAATTATTCCACAGCATTGAGCCCTGGTAGTTAAAGGGGCCCCATAGGCCATTCGGCCTAACCACTTTTTTCAGTAAAGGAAAACACCATCAAAGCCCTCCTGACAGATGGCAATCCAGTTGGAAAGGAGCCCCATATGCCATCCAGTCCAACCTTATTGGGCAGTAAAGGAAGACACAATCAAAGCTTACCTGACAGATGGCCAACCAGTTGGAAGGCAGCCCCAAAGGCCTTCCAGTCCAACCCCCTTTGGCCCCTTAAAGGTGTGTGCCTGTCTGACCATCCATCTACCTACCTACTTATCTTATGTTCTATCCATCTATCTTCTGTTCCATCTCTCAATGTCCCTTCCATATGTCTCTTCTGACTATTGTTCCATGCCTGGAATTCCTCTGTTTTCTGAGGGCCACAGCAACGCGTGGCAGGGGACAGCTAGTTAATAATATTTTAAAACCCTGATTTCTGAAAACTAGAATGAATTGTTGGTCTTTTTCCATTTGTTGTATTTTTGCAGGCCATTTAGTCCCAGGAGAGTCTAAGACAACATTTGACTCAAAAGCACAAAAAGGCCAATGAACCTGCCACAGATGCCCACCTTTGATGCACATCTGGTGGATCAACATCTGGTCAGATGACTCTTCCATCTCCTACTTATGACAACTTAGTAGAGCCAGGAGTCATTTCATAATGGAGATACAGCTCAATCTGGCCTGAGATAACTATTACACAAGATCAGGGGGAGGAAAAGTGTGGCTTACAGGACGCACGCAATGTGATAAGGTCCCAACATGATAAGGTCCCTAGTCTGATCCAACACGGTTGCTCTTACGTTCTGCATTTCCATGAACCCTACCAACCTCGGGCATCATGTACTTCCGGAGAAGGTTGACCACGATGGCAGATGGAGGGATCAGCTCATTGGGGTCACAGCAGAGTTCTGTGTGAGCCAGATGGAAGTCCAGGTTGAGGCGGTCCAAGCCATTGAGAATGAAAAGCACCCTGAAGTTAGTGGTGCCCAAGGTGGGTACCAGCTCCCGGAGGTGGAGGTACTTCTTGGTGATCAAGCGCCGCAAAGAGATAGGTGCATTACTTTGAGAGAGGTCTTCGCAGGAGAAAGGGATGAGCAGCTCAAAGCGCGGCAAGCGCTCGTGGCACCAGTCCATTACCATCTTCTTGATGAGGGTGCTCTTCCCAGTGCCCACCGTCCCATACATGACAACGTTCCTCACCGGCTGCCCGCAGGCATTGAGGTCAAAGAGGTTCTGGAGGCTGATGGTCTGGTTGCAAGAAGCCTTGAGCTGGTTCTGGATGGTTAGGTATGGAGAGGGCTTCAGGATCTCCTCCAGAGAGGTCTCCCGGATGATCGGGTCAACATGAATTGAGTCCAGAGCAAAGGAAGGGCCAAACTGCCTCTCCTCATTGGGTTGCTGGAGGAACCAATTGGCCAGGCTGTTCCGGTGTTTCTGGATGGCTTCTGAAAGAGAGGAGCAGGAAAAGAGAGAGAAGAAGAAGGATGGTGAGGCACACTTCTTCTCCAATAACAACCTCCCAGAGTATCTATTTTCGCTCCACAAACACAAGTTCGGGACCACATCCAAATATAGTCCCTATAAGCACTTTCCCAATCCCACTGGGCACGAATGTTATTGAGAATAATGGGTTGGCAACTTTCTGGTCCCAAAGAAAAGATGCTCTGAGATGTTTCCGATTTTACTTTTTTTAAATGGATTCCCTGTCTTTCTGCCAAAAACAGACATCCAGGAAGGTCTAACCCAGGGGATCACGTTAGATACAGACTGCTGCCCTTCGAAGCAAAAAGATCAGAACTTTTACCAGAAGTGGGCACATTCTTCAGTGCTATCTGGCTCGCTCGGGGCGAAGGAGACGGAGGTGATCTTGTCTGGCAGACAAAGCTCCTGCAATGGAAATCTATATCAATAAAAATGTAATGTCTGTTTGTGGGATTAACAGAACTCAAAAACACTGAACTAATTGACACCAAATTTAGACACAAGACACCTAACAACCCAATGTATGTCCTTCACTCAAAAAAATTGATTTTGTCATTTGGGAGTTGTAGTTGCTGGGATTTATAGTTCACCTACAATCGAAGAGCATTCTGAACCCCACCAACGATGGAATTGAACCAAACTTGGCACACAGGACTCCCATGACCAACAGAAAATACTGGAAGGGTTTGGTGGGCAGTGTCCTTTGGTTTTGGAGTTGTAGTTCACCTACATCCAGAGATCACTGTGGACTCAAACAATGATGGATCTGGACCAAACTCTACAAGAATACTCAATATGTCCAAATGTGAACACTGGTAGAGTTTGGGGGAAATAGAATCTTGACATTCGGGAGTTGTTGCTGGGATTTATAGTTCATCTACAATCAAAGAGCATTCTGAACCCCACCGACAATAGAATTTGACCAAACTTGGCACATAGTTCTCCCATCACCAACAGAAAATACTGGGAGGGTTTGGTGGGCAGTGTCCTTTGGTTTTGGAGTTGTATTTCACCTGCATCCAGAGATCACTGTGGACTCAAACAATGATAGATCTGGACCAAACTCTACACGAATACTCAATATGTCCAAATGTGAACACTGGTGGAGTTTGGGGAAAATAGAATCTTGACATTCGGGAGTTGTAGTTGCTGGGATTTATAGTTCACCTACAATCAGCATTCTGAACCCCACCAACGATAGAATTGGGCCAAACCTCCCACACAGAACCCCCATATGGGCCACAGCAACACGTGCAATATATTACATTATTAGCATAGTACAATATCAGTATTAAATATATTGTACTATACCATTATATTGTAATATTATTAGTAATATTACATGTAATATAAAATATATAATTATAATATCATATTATTAGTAGTAGTATTATATTGTATTACATTATAATATTATAAATATTATATGTATATAATATATTATACATTATTGGGTTGTTGTAGGTTTTTTCGGGCTATATGGCCATGTTCTAGAGGCATTCTCTCCTGACGTTGCACCTGCATCTATGGCAAGCATCCTCAGAGGTTGTGAGGTCTGTTGGAACTCACACAAATTAATTGTCTGGATTGCTATTATTGCAGAAGGTAACTCAGCAACCCAGGATGAATATAAAATTGAAATATCTATATAAATAAAAATGTAATTTTTATTTTTGGGATTAACATAACTCAAAAAACACTAGATGAATTGACACCACATTTGGACACAATACACCTCTCAGGCCAACAAGTGACCATCACACTGAAAAACACAACATAAGAGATTTTAAAAGCCAAAAAAATACATTAAAATGCATGCTTAAAACCACACACACACACATATATATGCAAACACACATATAGACACATACACACAAATATCACATAAAACACATATACACAGACTGGGCCACAGCAACATGTGGCAGGGGATGGCTACAATAAAAATGTAATGTTCGTTTGTGGGATTAACATAACTCAAAAACCACTGGACGAATTGACACCAAATTTGGACACATGACACCTATCAGGCCAACGAGTGACCATCACTCATAAAAACACTGGAAAAACACAGCAGAGGGGACTAAACCCCCCCCCCCCAAAATAAAACTTTATTTACATATACACATATATACATATACACATGCACACATACATACATACAGGGACACACACACACACAGGCACACACAAATATACACATACATATACACATGAACACATATATTTACATATACATATGCACACATACACACATATACATATAGACATACATACACACTTATATACACAAGCACACACATATACACAATATACATATACACATATAAACGCAGAAATACACAAATATATAACACATATGCACACACATATACACCCATCTATCTATTTATATATCTATATCTATCTATCTATATATGCAAACACACATATATACACATATACACAAATATATCCACACACATAAACACATATATGCACACACAAAACATATACACAGACTGGGCCACAGCAACGCGTGGCAGGGGACGGCTAGTATTAAATATTCTTAACATACGAACCAGCCCATTTCTTTCTTTATGTTGCATTGCGCCTTTAAGTTATTTCTTAGAGATATTGTAAAACTAGAACTTCCAAGCTATGGATTTAAAGTGGGATGAAACCGCATTTAATCTGTACTGTAGGCGCACCCTACATTCTGCGCTATTTGATTACCTGAGCGGAGGCATCGAGGAAGACAAAGCCCGGTCCACTTGCAAGATCCTCTTGAAGACGAAATTGCATGAGATGCCTCCAAAAAAGAAAAGCAACAAGTTATAGTTTTTAGGTGAAGTTATACACATTGGAGCTGCAATGGCACAGCGAGTTAAACGACTAAGATGCACAATTTGCTGATCAGAAGGTTGGCGGTTCGAATCCAGGGAGCAGGGTGAGCTCCGCTGTTAGCCCCAGCTTCTGCTGATCTAGCAGTTCGAAAACATGCAAATGTGAGAATAATTGGTACCGCTTCAGCAGGAAGGTAACAGCACTCCATGCAGTCATGCTGGCCATATGACTTGGAGGAGTCTACGAACAACGCCAGGCTCTGCGGCTTAGAAATGTAGATGAGCACCAACCCCCAGAGTCGGACATGACTGGACTAAATGTCAGGAGAACACCTTTACCTTTACTGAGACATCTTGGAGGCAGGACTTGGAATACTGTGACAAATTCCAGGCACCACAACTGAAGGAAGATGTTGGCTCTAAGCTGGAATGTATCCAGAGGAGGGTGACTCAAAGGATCCAGGGTCTGGAGAACAAGCCCTATGAGGAGCGGCTTAAAAAGCTGGGCATGTTTACCCTGCTGAAGAGAAGGCTAAGAGGAGACATGATGAGAGCCATGGATCAAGATGTGAGGGGAAGTCATAGGCAGGAGGGAGCAGGCTTATTTCCTGCTGCTTATTTCCTGCTGCTCCATATGACTTCCCCTCACATATTGATACATGGTCCTCATTATGTCTCCTCTCAGCCTTCTCTTCTTGAGGCTAAACATGCCCAGCTCTTTAAGCTGCTCCTCATAGGGCTTGTTCTCCAGACCCTTGATCATTTTAGTCTCCCTTCTCTGGACACATTCCAGCTTAGAGTCAACATTTCTAAGAGGGGGAGGGGGTTAGGGGACGGTTCAATCTTGCTTCCTGCATATGTCATCAGTTGGGGAGCCCTCCCTCCATCACCAACTGCTGCTGTGGGCCAGAATGAAGAGAAAGGGGGCCAAGGGACAGTTCTATCTTGTCTCCTGTGCTATGCTAAAAATATTATAATATAATATAATATAATATGTTGTATGTACATATATTTATAATATTATAATATAATATAATATATTGTATATACATATAATACTTATAATATTATAGTGTAATACAATATAATACTACTAATAATATGATACTATAATTATATATTTTATAATGGGCCACCCAGGCCAACCCCATTGTGCCAAGAAGCAGGAAAATTGCATTCAAAGCACCACCAACACATGGACATCCAGCCTCTGCTTAAAAACCTCCAAAAGAAGGAGCCGCTCTTTGAGCCGCTCCTCATAGGGCTTGTTCTTCAGATCCTTGGTCATTTGAGTCGCCCTCCTTTGGACATATTCTAGCTTAGAGTCAACATCTCCTCTCAATTGTGGTGCCCAGAATTGGACATAGTGTGATTCCAGGTAAAGTGGTCCAACCAAGGCAGAATAGAGCATGGGTAGCACGACTTCCCTGCATCTAGGCACATATTGAAACATGCTCCTCATTATGTCTCATCTCATGCTACTCTTCTGTAGGATAAACATGCCCAGCTCTTTGAGCCGCTCCTCATAGGGCTTGTTCTTCAGATCCTTGGTCATTTGAGTCGCCCTCCTTTGGACATATTCTAGCTTAGAGTCAACATCTCCTTTCAATTGTGGTGCCCAGACTTGGACATAGTGTGATTCCAGCTAAAGTGGTCCAACCAAGGCAGAAGGCACCCTCGCATATTGACACATGGCCCTCATTATGTCTCTTCTCAGTCTTCTCTTCTGCAGAATAAACATGCCCAGCTCTTTGAGCCGCTCCTCATAGGGCTTGTTCTTCAGATCCTTGGTCATTTGAGTCGCCCTCTTCTGGACACATTCCAGCTTAGAGTCAACATCTCCTTTCAATTGTGGTGCCTGGATTCATATAGTGTGATTCCAGATAAAGTGGTCTAACCAAGGCAGAATAGAGCATGGGTAGCATGACTTCCCTGCATCTAGACACTATATTCCTGTTTATGCAGGCCAAAACCACATTGGAGAAAGATGCCAGTTTTGAACAGACTAAAGTACTGCAAAGGGGAAATTAGCATTGTTTTGCAAAGGGAATTTCAATTGAGGAAAGGGATTTGGATGCAACATCAAAGAGCCATAGAAATAGAGATTCCGGCTTACTGTGCATGACGTTTGGGTGCATCATAGCTGTTCGACTCGGATGCCCAGCATCCGCTTGCCTCAATCTGGTCCAACTGGTCCCCGCTTGGGGCAGCCGTCTCGTGAATCCCATGGCAGGTGGATGTGGCTTTTCACCTGCAAAAAATAATAATAATACCATGCACAAAGGTCAAAGACACACAGCAAGCATAGGAACGACAGCATTACTGGGAAAAGCACAAGGAAGTGAAAGGAGAAGACTGGCTGTGGATGGGAAGGAAAGGAGCGAAAGTGGTAAGCTGGATAAGGAAAGTGCAGCTGTCACAAACACATACTGGCACCTTTTGTCCCAAAGCTGTTTGCAAAATGGCCTTTTTGTTGTCCAAGCTCCAGAAGAAGGACAAGTCGGTGCACGTCTGATCCATCTGGGCAAAGCGGGCGGCCTTCTCCAACCCAGCCCTGCCAGCCGGTTCATCTGACACTCTTTCCGGTGCCTAAAATGTCATTCTGGATGCCCAGCCCAGCCTGATCCCTCCTTGAAGCCACAGCAGCAGCCGGGAAAATAATCCAGGATGTTCTCCTCCCCTTAAAGGAACAGGCAAGGAAGAGAAAGCAGCCAGAGAAAGAGAGCCGCAAAGTGATTTCCAAATGGTTTTGCTGGCAGCCTTTGGGCAGAGTTAGCCGGACTCAGCAGTTAGAAGCCGCTGGCACATTCGAATCTGTCTGTCTATCCATGCAAGGGAATCCATGCAAGGGAATCCTGGAGTTTTATAGTTTTACAAGGTCTTGTCTCCCAAAGAGAGCTGATTCCTCTCCAAATTACAAACCCTAGGTTTGCATAGCTTTCAGACTGGCAGTAAAGTGGCATTGAACTGCATTAATTCTACAGTGTAGATGCACCCCTACTCCCCCATTTATATCAAAATATTGTTTTTGTTGAAAAGGGCTAGGACTTTTGTCTCACGGCCCTTCCAGACAGCCTTTTATCCCAGGATCCGATCCCAGGTTTTCTGCTTTTAACTGGATTATATGAGTCCCCGATGCCAGATTTTATTTTATTTTATTTGCAACAGGAGTGACTTGAGAAATTGCAAATCGCTTCTGGTGTGAGAGAATTGGCCGTCTGCAAGGATGTTGCCCAGATGTTTGATGTTTTCCCATCCTTGTAGTAGGCTTCTCACATGTCCCCTCATGGGAAGCTGGAGCTGACAGAGGGAGCTCATCCGCACTCTCCCCGGATTTGAACCTGCGACCTGATAATCTGGGGTAATTGGAAATCCTGGGATCAGATCCTGGGATATTGGGCCTGTCTGGAAGGGCCAAAAATCTATGCTTGGTAGGAACTATAAAACCACCTAGAGTTTCCAGCCCAGTTCTTGCATATTTAGAGCACCTTTTCTCAACCTGGAGGTCGGGACCCCCAGGGGTGAGGTCGCAAGGGGGTGTCAGATGTTTCGCCAAACACCAAAAGGAAACACAGTTATTTTCTGTTGTTTATGGGGTTCTGTGTGGAAAGTTTGGCCCAATTCTATAGTTGGTGGGTTCAGAATGCTCTTTGATTGTAGGTGAACTATAAATCCCAGCAACTACAACTCCCAAATGTCAAGGTCTATTTTCTATTTTCCTCAAACTCCACCAGTGTTCACATTTGGGCATAGTGAGCATCCGTGCCAAGTTTGGTCCAGATCCATCATTGTTTGAGTCCACAGTGCTCTCTGGATGTAGGTGAACTACAACTCCAAAACTCAAGGTCAATGCCCACCAAACCTTTCCAGTATTTTCTGTTGGCCATGAGAGTTCTGTGTGCCAAGTTTGGTTCAGTTCCATCATTGGTGGAGTTCAGAATGCTTTTTGATTGTAGGTGAACTATAAATCCCAGTAACTAATGACAAAATCAACCCCTTCTCCCCCACCCCACCAGTAGTCACATTTGGGCATATCGGATATTTGTGCCAAATTTGGTCCAGTGAATGAAAACACATTTTGCATATCAGATATTTGCATTACGACTCATAACAGTAGCAAAATTATAGCTATGAAGTAGCAACGAAAATAATTTTGGTTCAATTCCATCATTGGTTGAGTTCAGAATACTTATGGATTGTAAGTGAAGTATACATCCCAACAACTACAACTCCCAAATGACAAAACCAACCCCTCCCCACCCGGCCATATCGGGTATTTGTGCCAAATTTGGTCCAGTGAATGAAAACGCATCCTGCATATCAGATATTTTTACATGACGATTCATAACAGTAGCAAAATGACAGTTATGAAGTAGCAACGAAAATAATGTTATGGTTGGGGGTTGCAACAACATAAAGAACTGCATTAAGGGGGTCACGGCATTCGGAAGGTTGAGAAACGCTGATCTAGAGGGTCATTTGGATCAGCCGTTGTTTCTCAGCCCAAATGGGATATTTGCACAGATAAGTGAGGCATTGTTCCTCTCCTTAAGGCCATGAATAAGACAGCTAAAAAAGGTCTCAGATGCAGTGAATAATTGATTACCTGGCCAAATATCCAAGATCTTTGGTGCTAGGAAGGAGAGAGGAAGAGAGAGAGAGAGAAAAGATCACAGAAGAAGGAATGACAATCATCCCTTCACATTCACTGGCGTTCGGGGCAAAGGACCCTCATGAAAGTGAAAAATAATCCAATAAAGGTGTTGTCAAAGGCTTTCATGGCCAGAATCACTGGGTTACTGTGAGTTTTCTGGCCTATCTGGCCATGTACCAGAAGCATTCTCTCCTGACGCTTCACCCACATCTATGGCAGGCATCCTCAGAGATTGTGAAATCTGTTGGAAACTCAGCAAGAGGGGTTTATATATCTGTGCAACAGGGTGGGAGAAATAACTCTTGTCTGCTTGAGGCAAGTGTGAATTGACCTTGAGTTTTGGGAGTTGTAGTTCACCTACATCCAGAGAGCACTGTGGACTCAAACAATGATGGGTCTGGACCAAACTTGCCACGGATGCTCACTATGTCCAATCCCAGCAACTACAACTCCCAAATGTCAAGGCCTATTTTTCCTAAACTCCTTGATTATCATTGAATGGCTGTGCATCTTCAAAGCCTGGCTGCTTCCTGCCTGGGACAATCCTTTGTTGGGAGGTATTAGCTGGCTCAGATTGATTCCCCCAGGTAGGAAGCAGCCAGGCTTTGAAGCTGCAATGCTATTCAATTCTAATCAAGTTGGCCAATTGCAACATTCCCACTTGCCTCCAACAGACAAGAGTTCTTTCTCCCATCCTGGACATCCCACAGATAGATAAAACCCACTTGCCTAGTTTTCAACAGACCTCACAACCTCTGAGGATGCCTGCCATAAATGTGGGCGAAACATCAGGAGAGAATGCTTCTGGAACAATATTACATGTAATATTACTAATAATTTTACAATATAGTAATATATAATACTAATGCTGATATATAAGTATTATAAGCTAATATACTATATTGTCGAAGGCATTCATGGCCAGAATCACTGGGTTGTTGTAGGTTTTTTCGGGTCTATATGGCCATGGTCTAGAGGCATTCTGTCCTGACGTTTCGCCTGCATCTATGGCAAGCATCCTCAGAGGTAGTGGAACTAGGAAAAAGGGTTTATATATCTGTGGAATGATCAGGGTGGGACAAAGGACTCTTGTCTGCTGGAGCTAGGTGTGAATGTTTCAACTGACCACCTTGATTAGCATTTATGGCCTGGCAGTGCCTGGAGCAATCCTTTGTCTCACCCTGGTCATCCACAGATATATAAACCCCTTTTTCCTAGTTCCAACAGACCTCACTACCTCTGAGGATGCTTGCCATAGAGGCAGGCGAAACGTCAGGAGAAAATGCCTCTAGAACATGGCCATATAGCCCGAAAAAACCTACAACAACCCATTAATATTATATATTACATTGTACTATAACATTATACTGTAATATTATTAGTAATATTACATTTAGTATAAAATATATAATTATAATATCATTTTATTATTAGTAGTAGTATATTGTATTACATTATAATATGAACAATATTGTATGTATATACTATATATTATATTATATTATATTATATTATATTATATTATATTATATTATATTATATTATATTATATTAAGCACAACCTCTGTGGATGCCTGCCATAGATGTGGGCAAAATGTCAGGACAGAATGCTTCGGGAACATGGCCATAGAGCCCGGAAAACTCACAGCAACCCAGTGATTCCGGCCAGGAAAGCCTTCGACAACACATTGCAGAGTGTGTTTACCATGTTGAGTGAATTCATGCTCAACAAAGGCTGTGTCCACACAGGTGAATTAATTCCGTCTGGGAGTTGTAGTTTTGCAAGTCTTGAGCCTTCCCAGCCCAAAAGGGCCTCACCAAACGATACCTTGTGGGTTCCCATACCATCGAGTTATGCCACTTCAAAGTAGTGTCAAACTGCATTCATTCTACAGTGTGGACATGCCTGAAGACAAATAGGATTTTACCTGTAATGGAGCTTCTTCCCCTGCGTCAACATCCTTTCTTCCATTTGGTGCTGACTCTTGTTCTTAGCATGTCTATATAATATATACTTCTCAGTCTCTGCTTGGCCTGTTTCGTGCCTTTTTTCGTCTCTCCTTCTTTCAGGGCGGTTGTACTTCGGAGTGTCAACTCTCTGACAGTTCCTTAGCAACTTCCTGCCAGCAAAGCAACGCCCTTCCCACTCTCTCTGCCTCTCTTTTGCATCTGGGAAAGCATCCAAAAACAAGCCAAAGAGGGAGGAGCGGAAGAGCACATGCAAAGAGAGAAGGAAAGATTGAGAAAGGCCCAGAGGAGGAGTGCGGCACAGGGAATGGCCTGCCTTCTCCCATTCCTGCAAAGCCCTGCCCGGAAACACTTTGTTTTCTCAATGAATGTATTTCTCTATTGCTTCTCAATATCATATTTAGTTGATTTGCAACATAGATATTTTTGACCCATTCTGTTGAGTGCCAACATTATCTAGGGACGCATTTACACCGGCATGGGCAAACTTTCTAACTTGGGGGCTGCATGCTAGCACTCCCTGCTAGGAGGACTGGCTGCCTGGTGATGGAGGAAATGAAGGGAAGGAGGAAGGGAAGAGAGAAGGAAGGAAGGACGAAAGGGAAGAAAGAGAATGAGGGAAGGAAGGAAGGACGAAAGGGAGGAAGGGAGAATGGGAAGGATGGAAGGAGAAAGAGGGAGAGAGGGAGGGAAGGAAGGAAGGAAGGAAGGGAAAAAAAGAGGAAAAGGGAGAAAAGGGAGAAAAAGGAAGGAAGAAAGTAAGGAAGGATGATAGGATGAAAGAAGGATAGAAGGAGAAAAGAGGGAGAGAGAGAAGGAAGGAATGAAAGAAGGAAGAGGAAGAAAGAGGGACAGAGGGAAGGAGGGAGGAAAGAGAGAAGGAAGGAAGGAGAAAGAGGGAAGGAAGGATGATAGGGTGAAAGGGAAGGATAGAAGAAAGAGAGAGTGGGGAGGAAGGAAAGTCAAAAGGGAAGGAAGGAGAAAGAGGGAGAGAGGGAAGTAGGAAAGAGGGAAGGAATGAA